AAAGTACAAAATACACAAATAATACTACAGTTTAGAGAATTGTGTTTAACTCTGTTGTATAACAAGATTTTGAATTAGCTTAAGTCACGAAACTAAAAATATTATTAATTAATTTATGAGAATTATAGTAAATAATATTTAGATCTTGGTGATAGAAATTGAACCATTTTAAATAGGTCAGGGTCATTTTTGTGTTGGTATTTTCTTGATTCCTTGTAAAATATTGCGAACATCTTTGTTTTCAGTTTTATCTCTACAATCGCCGCTATTGTTATCTGCTGTCTCTCCAATAATTGAACGTTTCACGAGTTTAACTCGTACAATTTGGACCGTATGCAGTTAAAACTGCGTAATGTGTGGTACAATAAGGACGAACAAGTTGAAATGATTGCTATCTGTAAAATAAAAAAAAATCAACCAAAACTACTCAAGGAAACACCTCAAGTTGAGATTCTTCAGCAATATATTATGAATTATTATAGGTAACACTGAAGTAAGATATCTACCCGTAACTTTATGACGTTAATGGTAAATACTCTTACAATGTTTAATTGAAAGTTATAGGAAACAAAGAAAGCAAAAGTAAATAAAATAATCATTTCTATTATTTAATTATTTGAAGAGGGCACGACATTTAAATTCCTCTTTTAGAAGTGATTTTGAGTAGATTTTCGTATCTCTTCTAGTTCCGGAGATAATAGCCACCGAAACTTTTGTTTTACCTTATACAGGGTGTAAAAAGTTTGACTGCCATTTCTTCAGCATGAGATAGAGTAATCATAAATGAACAAAAAAGTTCTATATTACAAGAGTGTAAGATTAACAGTTTTCAAAATACAGCGAGTATTAATATTGGTGAGTTTCATCACAACGTGACACCAGCGCTTAACCTAATGCTACTCAGCTGAAGCATACCACGTGTGCACACGGCAGACTTGTCCTACGGAAAAAATGTAAACAACTATTGTTGTGAAACATTGGCAAATTTCAAGACAATTGTTTTCCAGTTTCTAAATAAAATATGTACGAAAATAGTGTTGTGCTTAAATTTTAGCTCGAATTTTAGTAATTATGAATCTCTTAACTTTTAATCAAATTATGAATTTGAAAAATATGTAATTAAAGTACCCAAATATTCGCGTCGTCCAAATAATCATACGTATTAAAAGTAAAATTCAATAATTTTTAAACGCACAAGTACAAAACAAACTACAACATATGCTCAAAATATCCACCACCATTTTCGGTGCACGCACGACACCGAATCCAATTTTCGCGCACTCGTTGGAAAACACCTCAAGGAAAATAAATAGTGGTACGCAAAAACACTCAGACATGGTCCAAATCCAGATACCAACTGAAGTGCGTATTGCTGGACAGCTTAGTACCTCGTATTAACCGCCGCGCCGTTGTCACATTGCTCGATATTAATTCGAATCGAATNGTCGTCCAAATAATCATACGTATTAAAAGTAAAATTCAATAATTTTTAAACGCACAAGTACAAAACAAACTACAACATATGCTCAAAATATCCACCACCATTTTCGGTGCACGCACGACACCGAATCCAATTTTCGCGCACTCGTTGGAAAACACCTCAAGGAAAATAAATAGTGGTACGCAAAAACACTCAGACATGGTCCAAATCCAGATACCAACTGAAGTGCGTATTGCTGGACAGCTTAGTACCTCGTATTAACCGCCGCGCCGTTGTCACATTGCTCGATATTAATTCGAATCGAATTTTAAATTTATTACAACGCTAATTATTTTTCAGAATTAAGCATAAAGAAGTTAAAAAAAGTTATAAACATTGTATTTTATGGTATTCTATACTCGCAGTTATGTCAATATTCCTTAATTAATCGAACTTTTGTACATCAAGTTGGAGATTTTGATAATTTTTTTTTCTCGGAAATGGTTGAGTTTCGGACCCATGTCATATAAGTTTTTTTTTGTTTATTTTAATGTATTCTATCGTTTGTTAAAATTAAGGCAGTCAAACTTCTATCACCCTGTATATTGGTTGATATTGGATATTGGTTATCGGTGTATATTGCTTTTAGAAGGACACTTGTGACACTTTTCAGAACAAGTACTTGTCTATACATTTTCAGTCAAAAATAAAGTTATGGCATTGAAGAAAATAAAAAAAGTCCTCCTACAAAGTGTGTGGTTCACATCGTTCAATTTACTGGTTAGGGTTCTTGTACTCATACATATGTATTGTGGGAAAATTGTCATTAAATAACTTGTTTACAGTTTGGTGTTCTCTTTAGTCATGCCAAAGCAAAATAGCACATGATTCAGTGTGCTTGTTAGATGTATATCCCGCAATGCTTATTTTATATAACAAACTCACACAGTCTGGTACCTTGCAGACGTACAATCGATAAATTTTGCGTGTTTGCTATGACAAGACTTTTTCATTTTAGCTGAAATATTGGAGGAAATGAAATTCAGTTAAATTCATCGAAACACGAAATGTCTAATCTAAGGTTTATGGAAATAAATTTAAGTAGTGCAATATTTTGTGTATTTGTAGTCGGTGCGCTTTTGCCACGCTATGGTCTGTCTATAATTAGAATATATTAAATGCAAGAAAGCAAAGTTTTATACATAAAGTTATTATTAGAAAATACAGTAAATTTAGGAAAATTCTTAAAATAAATTTCGAGGTAAATTTAGAATCGAGTATATTAGCATAAAATAAGTACCTAGTTCAATGTTAATAGATACAAGAAAATACTTAAATTGAAAATAAAAATGTCTCCGGTAAGATTTACAAACATAACAAAACAGAGTAAAGGATTTAAATGTTGAAATAAATTGGATACCTACTGTTTCTTAATAGGTCCATAACGGGTACCTGGTTGATTCTATACTATATATTTAATTAATTAAGGCAGGTGTTACAGTTATTAATTGTCTCAGTAGGGAAAGTTTAGAAAAAAATTATTGCACCTGTCGTGTACATACAACGTTTCAAAGCAAATAAGTACTACTAGCTTCCATAATTGGATTACGACTACTTAAAAAAACTTATAGCGACTAATAGTATAAAAAAATATAGAGACTGGAATAGAATCTATTAAATTTTTAAACATTAGCTTTTAAGTAGGTAAACTAATTAAATAAAACTAACCAAATGCAATAACTCCATATTATATATATAAATCAATTTTGATCCTAATAGTATTTGTTAATAATTAATTAGCGTCAATTCTGACGATCTATAGCTAGAAATGTATTTTATACTTATAAACATAAGCAAAAGTTAGTTTTGGATTTTTCATATATTATTTTTACTGTTTCTTAGAATTTCATTGGTATATGGTTTGATAAGTTTATTTTCTAATAATAAGAGACATATGGCCATAAGATTATTCCATAAACATGTGTGGAACTTATTATTTGCTTAAAACGAATAATCTTTTACTACCACGTTAGACTTATGGTATCCTCTTTGTCATATCTCTATTAATATTAGAAGAATGAGATTTAGATTTATTAAAGGTCTGGACACACATTGATGAGACGAGTGCAGGAGGCTTGCGAAACGAGAGTCTAATTCTAGAGAGCATTCTATCCAAATATGCGAAAATTAGTGCTTTAAAAAAATTCAATTCGCTTTGTTTCTAATTTTTTTATATTTACTTATTTTCATTAAACCAAAAGTAGGTACAGAAAACGCTCAAAAACGTTTCTTTACATGTGTGAATGGTGTGCTCACGCACGTCACTTGAGAGCAAGATTGGCGAAATCATGACATATTGGCATGGATATGCAAATTTCTGTTGTACCCGATAGTCCAGAGCTGTTTCAGCCCAAATATCTTCACATTTTAATATGACGGTTAACGTTTCTTACGATTTTACACTTGAGACAATCTTTAAGATTGCGATCACATTTAGATCCTACATACTTAATCTGACTAAACACAATTCATACGAAATGTAAATGTGGAAATTAGGTACATGTTTTAGGTTTTACGTACACTTAAATTATCTTTTTATATATATTATAGCTGCCGTGGTGTGAGTGTAGTACAAATTTGTACTACATTCATACACGTTTGAGTTGGTCTCAGGTGACGTCATGCGCAGACAAGACGAAATCGAGCCAGCTGACGAGCACACCATACTATTTTCACACCACATCTACATAAAATATATGTTATTCTGCTATCTTTATCTAGGTGTCAAAATATAAATGAAAACCCTATAAAAATTATTATTGCTTTATGAAATCCTAATCTTTATGATTTTTTTCGTACCCTAAATATAGCAGCATAATCAAAGATTATTTTATTTATTATTTTTTACATAATTTATATAAATTAACATTTGTTCTAATAGAATATTCATTAATAATTGTGTAAAACTTATTTTTAAATATTGTTTATTGAGTTTCTGTAAATAGATTTATGTTCCTAATCTATTAGCAATATGTTTATAATGAAATTAAAACATATAAATAAATATTTCAGTTCCACTTGTTAGTTGATATTTACACTTCTTAAAAGGCATACACATCCTTCCTGTCTGTCGTTAATTTTGTGCAAATGCATATAACATCATGAATCATGAGTAAAAATATGATCGATGACAAATATACGTATTTACTGTACTTTTAATAAAGTATATAAAAATGGACATGTAAATAACATTTACATAACATAATATAATAACATTTACATAACAAGCTGTTTTTATTATAATTCAAATTCATTTTTGTCTAAACAGGATATGTCCACTTAAAGGACAAATAAAGGGTTGTAGTTAAAAATTACCTGCATTAGTAAGTTTTGTTAAAAAATATCAAAGAACAATACATGATATAAAAAAGTACAAGAAAAATATAAAGTGAAATAAACATACAAGATAAAATTAGACATGCTGCAAACTGCTTAGTCACGGGTAAACTTATTACAATTTAAATTAGATTTTATAAAATAAACAAAAAAATGTATACTTAAGACTACTTTTTATTTTCAGAGCTCACAAAATCGACTTTTAATCAAAAACGGTAAAGTGGTCAGTGATGAGGAAATCACCGATGAAGACATTTACGTTGAAGATGGCATCATCAAGCAGATTGGAAAGAATCTCATCATTCCAGGAGGAACCAGGGTGATCGATGCCAGAGGCAAGTATGTGTTGCCCGGTGGTATTGATCCTCACACTCACTTTGAATTTGAATTCATGGGCACCAAAAGTGTCGATGATTTCTACAATGGAACAAAAGCAGCTGTAGCTGGTGGTACCACAATGATCAGTAAGTAGACGACGATATTTATTTGCTTCAATATTAGTGTGATATTATGTAGGTTCTCAGACATACAGGGTGATTTATTTGAACATGGTAAAAATAAAATGGATAGTTTTCCACCAAAAAAAGAAATACCGTAAAGTAAAAGATTCACAAAAGATTCATATGAATATTTGCTTAAGATTATATAGGATAGGAACACTTAGTAAAAATGTTCCAGTTTCAACACAGTAGTCGGAATTGGCGAATAAGAAATTGTTGTTTGTGATCAATGTTGTTCCGTTGCTCACAGATTATATTTATGGCATTATTGTTTATGTCTGCTTGTACTAGATCTCGTTCACTATTAATTAGTTGAATGTATAACAAATTAGTCATATATCCCCAGTATAAGATCTGAATCCTAGAAGTTAAATCACCACAGCCTAATCCAAACAGTTATATAACATTCAGTACCAAAAGCCATGAACTTCTTTGTTAAAACACGGAAGTGCTTCATTGTACCTGAACCGTCTGCTTCCATAAAGCAAACCTTATATTTTAAGGATCTGTGCCTGTGCATATGAGGCCTGCTGGTAAATCATGGGATCATGTTATGGTACAGCCCTAAGATTTATCAAAAACTTCATTGTTAGTAAGTGATCGTAAAACTTAACATTTTTATGGTACTATGATAATTCCTAATATCGTCTTCCACAGTCTAGTCCATTAAAAAATATTGCATGTTTTGTACATTCCAAGAATCATCCACAAACTTCCCTTATGTGCTAAATGGTATGAATGAAAACGACTTTTGCGCAAAATTCTCCCCTTTTTACTGGAAAATTTGTACATACATTCATATTTTCCTGTTCAATACCATTAGTAGATCACAATAATATGAACCATAACAACTATACAGAAGTTTGACTGCCTTAATTTTAACAGACAATAGAATACATTAACATAAACAAAAAACCTTATATGATCCAAAACTCAACCATTTCCGAGAAAAATATTATCATAATCTTCATCTTGATGTACAAAAGTTCGATTAATTAAGGAATATTGACATAATTGTGTGCATAGAATACCATAAAATACAATATTTATCACTTTTTGAACTTCTTTATGCTTAATTCTAAAAAATAGTTAGCGTTGTAATAAATTTAAAATTCGATAAAATTCATATCGAGCAATGTGACAACGGCGCGGCGGATAACACGAGATACTAAACTGTCCAGCAATACGCAATTCAGTTGGTATCTGGAATTGGACCTTGCTTGAGTGTTTTTTGCGCACCACTATTTCCTTTTCTTGAGGTGTTTTTCAGCAAGTGCGCGAAAATTGGATTTGGAGGTGTCGTGCGTGCATCGAAAATAGTGATGGGCATTTGGAGCATACGAATATGTTGTAGTTTGTTTTGTACTTGTGAGTTCAAAAATTACTGAATTTTGCTTTTCGGTAAATACCTACCTAAATTATTTTTAATATGTATGATTATTTGGATGACGTGAATCTTTTGGTACTTTAATTACATATATTTCAAATTCATAATTTGGTTAGAAGTTAAGTTCCTATTTTAAAAGATTCATAATTACTAAAAAAATCGAGCTAAAATTTAAGCACACTATCTTTATACTACAAAATCGATACATTTTATTTTATATATTTAAAAACTGGAAAACAATTGTCTTGAAATTTACTAAATGTTTCACAATACTTAATTGTTTACATTTTTTCCGTAGGACAAGTCTGCCGCGTCCACACGTGGAATGCATTAACTGTGTAGCGTTAGGTTAAGCGTTGTTGTCACGTTGTGATAAAACTTCCCAATACTAATACTCGCTGTATTTTGAAAACTGTTAATCTTACGCCTCCGTAATATACAACTTTTTTGTTCATTTATGATTACTCTATCTCATGCTGAAGTAATGGCAGTCAAACTTCTGACACCCTATATGTTGGACCAAACACTTTCTTTTCAGAAACTTGTTCTATTACTTATATGTGTACAAGGATTTTTTAAATTTTAAAGCTCCATATCTAAACATATTTTATGTTATTTCAAATTATTGTTTCTCAAATTGTACAATTTCTTTTGGCAATTTAATGTTGAAATATGCTGAACTGTATAAATATTACTCGGTATTAAGGTACCAATGAGCAAGTTCATGAACAGAGGTAATAAGAGCTGACCCAAAATAGTGGGTGTGTTGACAAGTTGAAACTGAAGTATAGCACAGCTTATGAAACTGAAGTGAAAATCCACTGCAGTTTGTATTGCTTTTATATTGTTGTAATATGGAATTTTGTTAATTTTTACAAAAAATTGATTGCGGTAAAGTTACTAGAATTTTGGGATTGGGAATTTTGTACTCTGTGTGTGGTACCAAATGCCAAAAAATACCAGGAAATTCTTGATGAATCATTACTACCAGGTATGACAAGATGATATCTAAATGGAAACTCTATAGTCTTCAACAGGATGGTGTGTCGTGATCAATGAAATAATAGTTTGGAGATAATGAAGTGAGAGTCTTTTCCCACCCTAGTTTTAAGGGCTCGTATTCTTGAGGAATAAAAGTTGCCCATCTTACACTTTTGCATCAGTCTTATTTAACATGGTACTTGCCAACCAAGTCATTGAATTAAAAAATTAAACAAAACATATGGGAATATCGAAGAACATACATATGATAAATGTCTTTGTGATCTTTCTCAATCTATCACCTGACTATTATTGAATAGTATTTCAGAGACATTACAATGGGATATTTTACAGGTGATTATGCATGTTAGGCTAATATATCTTTAAACTATTGTCAAGTTCTAACAAATTACCCAGAATGAATGAAATCAACTAAATCGATAAATGTAACTTACCTATTTAATTGCCTGTTACTATAAAAACCATGAATTTTTACAGTTGATTTTGTGTTTCCCAAGAAGGGCGAATCTCTTATTGATGCTTATTATGAATACCGACAGAAAGCAGACGGTAAAGTGTGCTGTGACTATAGTCTCCACGTCTGCCTGCCCTATTGGTCAGAACAAGTAAAGAAGGAAATGGAAATACTATGCAAGGAGCATGGTGTTAATTCCTTCAAGATGTTTATGGCCTACGATTTTATGTTAAATGACGCCGAACTCTACAGTGCTTTTGATCAGTGCCAAAAATTAGGAGCTCTCGCACAAGTGCATGCAGAGAATGGGCTTGTGATTGCAAAGAATGCAGAAAAACTATTGGCCAAAGGTATTACGGGACCAGAAGGACACGAGTTGTCCAGACCTGAAGAGGTTGAAGCTGAAGCAGTTAACAGGGCCTGCGTCATTGCGAAACAGGTCAGTCTGTTAGATAAGCAATAGTGCATGTTATACTGCAACCCTACATAGTATTAAAATTTATTTACCTACCCTGTTCTAAAGTTAACAATAATTAAATTTTATAACTGCAGCAATATTTTTTTTCACATACATATAATCATTTTCAATTAACCGAATTCATTATTCAAAATTATATCTAGATACTCAGGGACACATTAAAAATTCATTTAAATTAGGCAAATTATAATGCAAATTAATTCTTTTCCAAGGTAAAATTTTGTAAATTGTTAAAATTAATTTGGCCAAACAATTTTTATTCCTTAATAAATTCAATTTAACGAGTAAGATTAATTTTAAGCATTTGGCAATAAATTAAAGATAATTGAAATTTCTAAGTAATAATAATAATTTCTATAAATTCTCACCAGCATCACCTATCTAGGTATGCTATCGTTCAGAACTTTTTTTAACTATTTTTGAATATACCTTATTTGTACCTTACATGGAAACTAAATTAGAATAAAAATTTATTTTCATTGCTATTTTTTTTTAATAAATACGGTTACATTGGTCAGGGTCATTCACATAACATTTTAACCCCTTTATCATTTTTACTTTTCCATCTAGAAAATAATGGCAGACCACAGTATTAAAAAAATTTCTTGTAATATAAATGAAATATATTGAGTTACAACAATATTTTGGTTTACTTCCTGATTCTGCACATACTAGTAGCCATGTAACCACTGCATTAGTATATTTTCCACTCTTAAATTTACCGAACAAGTTTTTAAGTTCTCTCTATTAAGAAANTTTATTTTCATTGCTAATTTTTTTGAATAAATACGGTTACATTGGTCAGGCCATTCACATAACATTCTAACCCCTTTATCTTTTTTACTTTTCCATCTAGAAAATAATGGCAAAGACCACAGTTTTAAAAAAATTTCTTGCAATATCAATGAAATACCTATATTGAACTTCAACAATATGTTGGTTTACTTGCTGATTCTGCACATACTAGTAGCCATGTAACCACTGCATTAGTATATTTTCCACTCTTAAATTTACCGAACAAGTTTTTAAGTTCTCTCTATTAAGAAAAAATATCTTACTACAAAAAATGTTTTATATACCGTTGACAGACATACAAACCAAATACTTTTTTCGTAACGCCATGTTACCCACTTTATTAATAGTACTCTATTCAATATTTTCTTTCTTAGGTCATATAAATTATTAAAATTTTCTTTGTGTACTTTATCTTTCAAAATCTGTCATAGAAAGATCATCTACATTGAGATTAAATTAGGACTTCTTGCAGATCTTTAAAATTACAAGAAAACTTTAATAAAAAAATATCCTTATTTAGAACACCTTTTATAATACGAGGTTTGTTCAAAAAGTACCTAACGGGAATTGTTATTTTTCTCAGAAAATATTTATTCTTCAATTTTTATCCTATTCCCTACAAAGTAGTCCCCCGTGTGATATTATATACGAGTACTTATGCCTATGTAGTTTTCAGTTTGAGAAACTCTGGTGATATCGCCTTGAGCACGGTTTGCGATTTTGCCTTTATCTCATCTGTTGTTGAAAAATGTTGTCCTTTGAGTGTCCTTTTGAGTTTAGAAAATAGGAAAAAGTCACAGGGGTCATGTCCGAAGAATAGGGTGTTGTGTTTCGCCAATAACTGTTGGATATGCAAAGTGGTATGTGCCAATATGTTGTCGTGGAACAAAATCCACGAGTTGTCTCTTTGTGTTATTGTCTTCTCCTGCTTCACGCAAATTGCTCAAAACTTGTACTTGTTGTTAACTGTACAGCAGTAAAAATTCGAGACGAATTATTCCATTATAGCTGAAGAAAACTGTTAGAAGGACCTTCACATTTGACCAGATTTTGCCTCATCTTCAATGTCTTCTTAGGCTTCCTGAAAATATTTGTACCATTGATAAATTAGTGGCTGTGATATTCTCTGTACTTAATTCTGTTTTTAACACAAAATATCGGACATATCTCTGACCTGACATTTCACCACACAAAAAATCGACAAAAACACTGAGATATGTCTTACTCATGCGCTCGCTAAACACAAATTAATCGTGGCAGCTGCCTAAAAATTGACAGGTATGCGTCTGACAGGGCTACCAATACACAAATGAAAGTCAACTCGATAGACAAGATACAACACGTGTAATTTAAAAATTCCGGTTACTTTTTGACAAAAACCTCGTATAAATTTTTTTTCTTAAAATTATATTTAAAGATTTGTTGAATAACTTCGGAAAAACATAAATGTGTGCTGGTTTCATGGCAATTTTGACTTTGTCCATTGTGGAAGCCCAGTAAATAAACCAATAAAATTTTGTACAATACCATCAAAGCAAATATATGTTATGTATATATCATGATAATTAAAAAATGGAAATGATTCTAAAATCACAGTCAACAAACATATTTCTTTGAAGAAGGAAAATTTAATAAAACTGATCTTTATCGTGCATGTTGTCCTAGACAGAAATGTAAATAATATAAGAAGGGTAACATGTTATGTGAAGGACCCTGTACAAGACTTCATTTGAAGAGAATTTGGGAAATTTGTTTGAATTGCTAACAACTTAAAGTACCTATTCAAGAACTAGTATTAAAAAATAAAAAATATATACATACATAGTTTAAAAAACTCAATCTAAATTAAATTTGTTGAAATATAAATAATTTGCTTTTGTTTATTTAGGTATTAAACTTATCTTCATGACAAAAATATTTTTATTGTGAAAATACGTGCATAACAATAAAATCCTTATCTTTTTCAAATCGGTTTGCTCTCAGGTTTAGTTATTAAAATTCTTTATAATTTCATAAATATAGTATTTTTTTACTACATTATTAATGTTTTTACTCGCTCTTGCCGAATATTTTATATATCTATCTAAATGTTTAATGGAACTACTCATACTTTATATCAGTAGGTGTAGGTAGTATAAATTGTGATAAATTGTTTTTCCCTACAATAGCAATTGCCACAGAATTATTTTTTATGAAGGAAATTACAAATACTCATATCAAAAGTTATAGACAAAAAGTATTAGCAGCAACTGAAAAATTATTGGAACCAACCTATCACAAATATTGAACGTAATTAAGAATTCAAATTTAAATTATTTAAAGGAATTGTTTTTTACTTTTAGTTTTAATTTTTGCTTGACAAGTGAGTATTCATTCTGTAGAATAGAGTGTCTGCTTTATATACCATTATTCTTTAAGTTCTTTAAGCTGCTTGCTGGAGAATGTCATTTTGGGCTAATGATTTTCAGAGTTGCACTAGAGAGCAAACTTGTATCTCTTGGCTATTCTGTAATTAAGTAAAGAGTAAATATGGAGATGCAGGACATTCCAGAATTAATGAGACACAGAATAGCTATCTGAGAGACTGCAAAGTATTAATATTTAATCAAACTTACTTTGGTCGGAAGGTTGACATTGAGATAGATACAGAGGAATACACAGGGACAAAAATCACAATTTTTCTATTAATTGTTTGACGTAACATTTTTTAAAGTATTGATAAAAAATTGAAATTTATTTAACAGCAACAATTTCACTGGTGTTATAGTGCCTTAATTTCATCAGATTACGATTTTGACATTGTCAGTTCACAGGCGTCCATGGCAATTGTTGATGCTTTAGAGCGAGAGACATATCTCTCAACAACCATTAATAACTCAGTATTTTGTTGGTTAAGTGCTTTCTTCTTATTTCTGTGGTTAGGTTCTATTCAAGTCCCATAGCACCACGGTTTTATCAGGCATATTGTCCGTCCCACTGTTCAAACCTATTCAGCAAGAAGCTTTGTTCTTTTAATTAAGTCTAAAAGCTTCTCTGCCAAAACTTATCTCAGCTCCTTGAGACCCAAAAAGGGTTTTCCCAGGAGCATCATTCTGCTACGTGCAAATTCTCAAGATATACAGAGAAGTTTAATCCGCTAAGTCACATCCTGAGCAAACCGGACTATATATAAGCCGTAGCCTGTCCTGTATACATGTTTCCTAAAGTAAAAGTGTCCCATTATAAGTCCCATCACTTTCCTGAGCCGTATTCTATTCAAGCTCAGCAACTTATTTATTCTTTTCTGCACAGGACACTTCATACGTTCTTTCATATGGCTTTGCCCTGGTTTTGCAGCTTAATATTTCCTATGTTGTGACTCATTCATTCATTTGCCCAAAGCCCACCTGACCACACTGAGATGTTCATCCGCTTTCTCATTTCCTTCTAGGTTTGAGTCCAGATGTTCCTGCACCCATTCCTCTAGCCATTTTGGCGCCATCCGTAAACTATACTATGGGAAGAGCCTATTTTTCCAGGGGTACCTATAGTATATGCCATTTAAAGAAATTAAAGAATCTTTTTATGTAATCATAATGAAGAGATATGAATCTTTAATTGAAACTGTCAAATACCTGAGGGCAAAAAAGATAAAGGTGGATGAATATATCAGAGCATAAGTGAATCTATTAAAATACTATTTGTCCTACAAAAAACCTTTGGCAATTTTTAAATAACTAACTTATGAACTACCTTAGTTACTACAAAAAAAAAAAAACTTGAGTCTTGTATATCTCTTAATGTCAACTTTTAAATTAAAGTAAATTAAGTTAAATTATAATATTTTGGTGCCTATTTAGAGTTGTTGTATATCTTATTAATTGTGGGATGCCCCAGTTAATACATTAAACCATTAAAATGATAAATTGTTAGCCCTGATGGACTAAATAGTAAACAATTATTTATGTCCTTTTTCTTTTTTTTTTATTTTAAGTTGTGTGGTTATAGGTAGATAATCCGTTGTATGTAGTGCATGTGATGAGTAAATCAGCTGCAGAAATTTTAGATCAAGCATGCAAACGTGGTACCCGAGTGTATGGTGAGACATTAGTAGCAGCTCTTGGTACAGATGGTTCTCATTACAAACACGAATGCTTCCATCACTCGGCCGGCCACGTCCTTAGTCCTCCTCTAAGACCGGACCCCACAACACCTTTAAGTTTAATGAATTTCTTAGCACAGTAAGTCTTTTCTTTGTTTTGTTTGTTTTGTTTGCACTGTTGAATTGCATCCCGAATAACCCCTTCTGTGTGGCAACTACGATTTCCAATTTACTAACCCATCAAAGTTCTCGTACTCCTTTACATAATTTTAAATATAGGTAAATGCTCCACTTTATTTGGCACACATTACATCAGAAAAGTCTGGAGAGATTATCAGTACAAAACGCTCCAGCGGTCAGAAGGTATTTGGAGAGATCGAAGCTTCTTCTGTAGGCATTACCGGAGAACCCCTTAATGCCAACATGATCACTTCACCACCAATTCGTTCTAATACTGACTCATCCCGACTTTTGGCTTTGTTGTCATCGTAAGTGTGAATTAACCACTAACATTTTGTATATAGAATTAAACAACTCATTTTACGAATATATTAATTCCATCTGCTAGATTCAAAACTCAGGTTATTCAAGCTTTAACACTTTTTAGTAACAAACTATAGAATACGAATTTCTTATAAGTTAGAAAATGGCAACATAAAAAAAAGTCAACTAAATAATTTTATTAATATAATAGTTAGTGGTTAATATGGTAATATAAAAGAAGTCAATGAAAACATGTTTTTGCAATAAAAAATTTCCCTTAGTCATAGGCGTTGATATTTTACAATTGCTGTAGGTTAGCAATGTAATTAAGCCATATTAGTTCAAGAGCTGGTAACGCATGTTTCATGAAGTGTTTGATGCATCTTAAAATTTTTTAATTCTGGTATCTATGGGATACCAAGCTGGAAGACCTGTGTTGGCTTGACCCAACCCGGGACACCTGGCANAGGACACTTCATATGTTCTTTCATATGGCTTTGCCCTGGTTTTGCAGCTTAATATTTCCTATGTTGTGACTCATTCATTCATTTGCCCAAAGCCCACCTGACCACACTGAGATGTTCATCCGCTTTCTCATTTCCTTCTAGGTTTGAGTCCAGATGTTCCTGCACCCATTCCTCTAGCCATTTTGGCGCCATCCGTAAACTATACTATGGGAAGAGCCTATTTTTCCAGGGGTACCTATAGTATATGCCATTTAAAGAAATTAAAGAATCTTTTTATGTAATCATAATGAAGAGATATGAATCTTTAATTGAAACTGTCAAATACCTGAGGGCAAAAAAGATAAAGGTGGATGAATATATCAGAGCATAAGTGAATCTATTAAAATACTATTTGTCCTACAAAAAACCTTTGGCAATTTTTAAATAACTAACTTATGAACTACCTTAGTTACTACAAAAAAAAAAAAACTTGAGTCTTGTATATCTCTTAATGTCAACTTTTAAATTAAAGTAAATTAAGTTAAATTATAATATTTTGGTGCCTATTTAGAGTTGTTGTATATCTTATTAATTGTGGGATGCCCCAGTTAATACATTAAACCATTAAAATGATAAATTGTTAGCCCTGATGGACTAAATAGTAAACAATTATTTATGTCCTTTTTCTTTTTTTTTTATTTTAAGTTGTGTGGTTATAGGTAGATAATCCGTTGTATGTAGTGCATGTGATGAGTAAATCAGCTGCAGAAATTTTAGATCAAGCATGCAAACGTGGTACCCGAGTGTATGGTGAGACATTAGTAGCAGCTCTTGGTACAGATGGTTCTCATTACAAACACGAATGCTTCCATCACTCGGCCGGCCACGTCCTTAGTCCTCCTCTAAGACCGGACCCCACAACACCTTTAAGTTTAATGAATTTCTTAGCACAGTAAGTCTTTTCTTTGTTTTGTTTGTTTTGTTTGCACTGTTGAATTGCATCCCGAATAACCCCTTCTGTGTGGCAACTACGATTTCCAATTTACTAACCCATCAAAGTTCTCGTACTCCTTTACATAATTTTAAATATAGGTAAATGCTCCACTTTATTTGGCACACATTACATCAGAAAAGTCTGGAGAGATTATCAGTACAAAACGCTCCAGCGGTCAGAAGGTATTTGGAGAGATCGAAGCTTCTTCTGTAGGCATTACCGGAGAACCCCTTAATGCCAACATGATCACTTCACCACCAATTCGTTCTAATACTGACTCATCCCGACTTTTGGCTTTGTTGTCATCGTAAGTGTGAATTAACCACTAACATTTTGTATATAGAATTAAACAACTCATTTTACGAATATATTAATTCCATCTGCTAGATTCAAAACTCAGGTTATTCAAGCTTTAACACTTTTTAGTAACAAACTATAGAATACGAATTTCTTATAAGTTAGAAAATGGCAACATAAAAAAAAGTCAACTAAATAATTTTATTAATATAATAGTTAGTGGTTAATATGGTAATATAAAAGAAGTCAATGAAAACATGTTTTTGCAATAAAAATTTTCCCTTAGTCATAGGCGTTGATATTTTACAATTGCTGTAGGTTAGCAATGTAATTAAGCCATATCTACAGTTATTCAGGGCGTAACTTTGAAGGGGGTCATATTGGTTCAGAGTCTACCCTATACATATACCTATTTAAAAACACATTACTTTTTTTCAATAGGATACTGTAACCTCAAACAACCACACTTTCCAAGAGCACATAGCCAACTGGAATTTTGTATAAGTGCATGTTGATTTCATGTCACACAGATATTTTAACAATGAAGACACTCAAACACACCATATCATCACTAACAAACACTAAAATAAAAAAAATTATAATGTACATTTATACTATACAAAACATTGCACACAATTCCACTTTGAATTTTGTCACGTCAGATGGGATATTATGTAATATACCTAAACTAGATGTTGAAGGTCATTGACACTGAGATTCACAAATTAAACATAGTGCTTCAAAATAATAGTAAAAGACACTTTTTAGTAAAAATATGAAATGATTGCCCTACTTAAAGTTATACCCTGCATGTATCAAAAACGTTTTTTGGTTGTAAATACTTAATAATATAATTTACTTCAAGTTAGTATAATTATATTAACCTTTCCTGTCAATGAGGTGAACTGGTGATCTCATTTTAATTTATACCTATTAATTATAACCCACTTTTTTTAAATATGTTTAGTAATACTAAATTTAGAAATACCCATTGTATTCACAGCTGAAGAATTTTATTAGACATTTAAAAAACCAGAAATAACTACAGACATATTTAAAACTTTAGATTTACTTAAGAATAAGAAGGTACGCTTTCTGGCTAACCAGTTAAAAAAACGGTTTTGTAAATCTTCATTATACAAAGGTATTAAAGAGGACATGAGGAAAAGAAAGCACACACAAAATTGGTTTTGTCCTTCAAAATTAAAATTTCAATTCTATTTTATAGGAACGAACAATCCTATCGATTCTTACAATAGAGCTACCTACTAAAAACCTTAATTTCCTTATAATGATAAAGAAATTAGGGATAGCATTTTAACAGAATGATGACTTCACCAGCTTATTTTGCAATTTGTCAGGAACTGCAAATTTAATTATGTAAATTAAAGTACCTAAATACATTATATTTACTACTTGACCCCTTTTGCCATATTTCAGTTGGTTCACATATTAAAGAGATATTAGAAGAATTTTTATGTATCTTTTGGTTTATATTGTGTAAGAAAATAAGTAATACATTCTTTGAAATATCTGAAATTAGTACCTATACACAGCTTCCTAAATTCGATGCTCTTAGTTACATAATATGGCAATTTTTTTAATTCTATATACCTACCTACTTGTACCTAATATAAACTGATTTCAAAAGTTGTCATCATACATGTATTGTGACGTGTATAAATCTCCAGATGTTTCCTTTAGAAAAGTTCAAATGTAAAGTACCTAATATGCATCATAGCGTTTAAATCATGTAATTTCATAAAACATATATCATTCAACATACAGAGTGTATACACATTCTATTTCTGTCTTAAAAGGAAAGCTTTTGTGCACACATTTACAAGAACTTTTTAAAATTAACTCCTGACTTATTTTGTGACATTAGTTGTATCATAGTTGGATGAGCATTTTATATATAGTATAAGGCAAACATTTTTAATACCTACTTTATTACATTTACTGCAGTAACTTAGGTACAGTGTACTAAAATTTAGTAACATTACTTTTATTAATCAACAAGAATTATTATTAATTATTTTTATCTATTTTATTTGCAAAAAATTGATCTGAGGATCAAAAACATTTTTGTTATTTTTACATAAGCCATTTATAGCAAAAACAAATATACACAGGTAAACCCAATTTATAGATATACAAGCCATTAACTAAAACAGAAAACAAATTAAATTCAAATATTTTTTTATTAAATATGTAGACCTTAAACCAGGTTGCAGAGGATGCCAGTAACTTGTACAAGTTACTAAAATCAAATATTGGATTTTAATATTTATGATAAACAAGGGCCTGGACAAGGGGGAGCAGCTGCCCCCTCTAGAAATTCGAAAATAGTACAAAAATTCTTTCAGCTAAGAAAATATATTGGAAATTTTTAATAAAATATTTTATATACGTAAACTTTAATTTTGAAAACTAATACACTAGGTACTTATTTTTTTTTTTCAAAAAAATTGTAAAAAATCAGTATAAATATTTATTGACAAGAGAATGAAAAAATATAAAATTTTATGCTAAAACGTAATACATTTTCATATTTTAAAAATTTAGCTTTAAATTAAAAAAAAAAATCAATTTTTATCTATCGGAATCAGAATAAAAGTTTGCGGTGCAACTAAAGCTATATATGTAACGTACCAATTTTATATAGGGGGAATGAAAAATAGAAGAACAGAAGAATAAAAACCTGGCTGAGAAATATACTATGGTACAAAATCGTCTCAATGGCCTAGCAATGATGAGTATACACAGAAAGCTTATTTTTGACAACCATGAAGATTTTATTAATAAAGTGGACGACAAATTTTCAAAAAATCCGAAAAGATTATGTTCTACCTAATTTTCGTTGAATTTCTTTATTTTTTTAGATATTTATATATTTTTGTTTTTTTTTGTATTAAAAAGGTTTTATTAAAAATATTTCTATAAAAAATTAATTCACTGTACCTATTTTTACCTATAATTTATNTCTTTTTAAATTTAGAAAAAAAAAGAATCAGAAATAGTATAATTATTGTAATAAATTAAAATATATCTGGAATGTTGTTACATTTCTTAATTTTTATATACAATTTAAAAGTGAATAGAAATTGGAATGGGGATTTTGAGAATAATCTCGTGTTATTAGATTTTGAATACAAAAAAATTAAGGAAAGTTAATTATATTGGGCTTAATATTTGCAATTTTGAGATATTATAAGTTCCAGGTACGTGTTCTTAATTTCTATTTTATAAAAAAATTTTTTGAAATTCATTTGTTTTTTATTTATTATGTAGCTTGTAAATCGAGATAGGTACTTCAAGAAAATGTTTAACAGAGAAATTATTGTATAGTCGATGCTTAAAAGGTAAAAAATTGTATCAGTTTAATTGTAAATTCAAAATTTTGACGTTCAAAAATGGTTTACAGGCTAAATAATCATAATTTTAGAAATGCATTTGTAAATATGTAGAATATATACGTTTTAAATTAATTTTTAAGTATATTCAACGTAATTTTTCTGATGTAGGGGTGTTCTTCAAGTAACTGGCAGTGACAATTGTACTTTTAATAAGTCGCAGAAGGAATTAGGAAAAAATGATTTTAGAAAAATTCCAAATGGGGTAAACGGCGTAGAAGACAGAATGTCTGTTATCTGGGAAAAGGGTGTGCATACTGGTATTCTCGATCCCACTACATTTGTAGCCGTAACCAGTACAAATGCTGCAAAAATATTTAATTTGTACCCAAGAAAAGGTTGCATTGCTGTTGGATCGGATGCAGACATAGTGATTTGGGACCCTGTTGCAATCAGAACTATATCGGTTACAACACATCACCAAGCTGTAGATTTTAATATTTTTGAGGTAAATAATAAGTCACAAGATTTTAATGTACACATGTTTTGATGAAAGATTTGATAATTTTTTTTATGTTAGGGTATGCAATGTCATGGGGTACCCCAATACGTGATCGTCAATGGAAGAGTGTGTGTGGATGAAGGTCAGTTGCGTGTTGTTGAAGGGCATGGACATTTTGTTGAAACTCCAACTTTTGCACCTTACATATATGATCCAGAGAAACTTGCGTCATTAAGAGCTGAGAAAAATGGGGTAGACGATGAAGTGGATCAGTTACAAAGGATACATACGGTAATTACTACTCATTGAAAAAAATCTTAATTTTTAACAAAAACATTTTAGCTGAAAGAACAAATAGACCTTTTTCATTAGTTCATAAGCTGGAAACAAAATTATATTTACATCCCAGTCAAATAAAAAGCAAATTCGTTGTTAAATTCTTAAAATTACATTAATAGAAAAAATTTCATATTTTACTTACAATTGGATTGATGGACTTGACAACGTGGCTTTGTCCTTATTCGTTTATTGGATTTAATCTATTTTGTTTAATGTTTAGTGACAAAAAGTAGTGGGAAAAAAATATGTTGCATTGTACACATTAATACCGTTAATTTATTTTATGTGAAAAAGGTACATTGAAACTGGATCTAATCGTTTAAATTTTAATCTGTATTTGTATCACAAAATAATACTTTATGCATTTCACAAGTATTTTAAGCAATAGTTTGGAGACTAAGAGTGGTTTTTAGTATATTTTCTTGGACTGTAAAGTAGTGTTTACAATACTTATGAAAATCATAATATTGACAACACAATTGGCCCTTAATCTTTCAAAACATTTAATGAAAAGGAGATTACCTTAATAAATTAATTTTTTTAGGTACATTTAGAAGACGATACTTTATGTCCTACTCCTACTTTACCTGATTCAGCAGTAAGCACTCCTTCATGCAGAGGAGCTAGACCAGAAGGGCAGAGAAATATTCAACAGTCAACATTTTCTATCAGTGGTACGTATATTATAATCCTCACAGCACTTTCATAATGTTAATGTATAATTTAAAATGAGGCGGCAATATTCTACCAGTTAATTTTGTGACATATTTTTTTTAACAGAATACCCTGTATATTTTCAATATATGACTAGAGTGCTTTCTTAATATTACAGATAAAGCATAATAGATCTATCTGTAATAATAAGGAAGAAAAAAGTATGCTATCAAGAAACTCTTTAGACTCTTTTGGCCATACTGTAATTTTAATGCAGCACTTTGTTCAAATTTGAAAAATATACAAGTTGTTTGTCAAAATATATATACAGGGCGTCTCGAAATTAAAGGACAATATTTCTACAGTGTTCTAAGTAGAAAAACATTACTATTTCTTTATATACTCTGATGATGGATTTTTCTAAATAACTGAAATAAGTTGGGATAAATTTACGAAATTTGGTAACTAGCTTAACTCTTACGTGCTCATAGTCCGCTATTAAAACGAAATTTGCAAGTTTCCATTACATACGTTCCAACACTTGGGGGAAGGGAGGAAAAATTTACCATAACTTTTTTATGCTTTGACTTTGTTACTTTTGACTAAAAAGTATGAAATTTCAGTTTTTTAGTAAAAAAAGATACTCTTGGTCCATATTGGTACAATGATCCATTTTTGTGAAAATCCGTTTAAAAATAATGTTACATGTGTTAATCACCGGGAATCGAAATTGTCAAGATTTTCTATCGTATCGGGTTGTGAAGAACAAAAACGCGTTTGGCGTCATTTGCATTGACAGTTCAGTTATTTTACTTTTTGCGAATTGTTATTTTCACAGAAATTTATTATTTTTAGTAAATTATTATTTGACAAAGTTAAAAAAAAACAATTGAAATTATTAAAAGGTAATACAATAAACTTGTAACGTCCCTTTTGCTCTGGCGCCAAATTTTTGTAACGTACTTTATTTACTTGGCTTTGATTTTGCGGTGGTGACGGTTCGGTTCAGACGTTACTTGTGGCCGCCCCCGGTATACTACCAACTCTAAACAGAATCTTAATTCACAATTTCAAATTCTAATTTTCTAGATTTATTGACGTCACTGACGTCCATATTTGGACGCCTAATTTTGTGACGACCCTCGACTACTAGTTTATCGGCAGCGGTGGTTGGCAGCCGGCGGTGGTGAGTGACGTCACAGGAACGTACTCCGGATTGAATCTTTTTGTTCGGTTTTTGTCTCGGGCGCCAGTTTCCCAATCGGTTACGTGGGGGAAACTCCACGTGAAACCTACCCTCGGTTTAGAGTAAGTACTCGGGATAGCTGCAGTGAAGAAAGTTTAATTCCAGGGGTCTGTTATATTTCTCTTAATTTCAAGCAAAGTAGTTCTCTGAGTGTAGTGTTATTTTCCTTTCAAAATAAACGGTCTTATCAGTGTAGGTCACAAAAAGATAGTGCGACTTTTTACTGAGCGGAATTTATCAATCTTATCGGTGTTAAGAATGAATACAAACGGGAATTATATTTACTAGATTTATTAATCAGGCCTATTGAACTTGAAACAAACAAACAAAAGTAAAACAGATTCTTATTACAGTTATTATAAACAACTAAAATTAGAAATGTACAAATAATGTACAAACGGTGGGAATAAAAATAGAATTGGTTAGAGCAATTATATATCACGGGATTAAAAATGCCTATTCGGTTTTCCGGCGCTGTAAAGAATTACAAAATTAGAACATACTAAAATATCGGTGGTCAGGACACAAAAATCGGTATGGTAGGCAAATGCAGTATTAGGCGGTTAGTTTATTTTTACAATAAACAATCTAATACTATAAGAAACGGTACGCCAACGGTATTCGGTTTTAATTTCGGTCGGTGCTAGAAAGAAAAACACAGTTAGCAAATCAGAGTAATAAATAATCAACAAATATGCCGATTCCAAATGGCTCTGAAACAAAGAAAAATAGATTACGGGCTACTCTAATGCTACAAATAAATATCGTCGGCGGTTTCTAGCAAATGCAACGGAAATATGCGGAGTTAATACCAGCCAAGGAGGAAGCGAAGCAAGCAATACACAAATGGCATAAATAAGCAAACGGTGATCAGGTACAGGAATAGTTTGGGTGACGGGAGGCAAAGTCTATTCGAGTGCACGTTCGGACGCGCGGCCGGTGACAGATTTCTCCTGGAAGCGGTGTTATGCACAGCCAACTCCCTGGGTCTATCCGTCGGTACGGCTGGCACTTAACGTCTTCCGCTGGCGATGTTATGCACAGTCAACCAGCAGTTTCAGTCAAGGTACCCCGCAACGTTCGTCAAAACGAGGGCGATGTTATGCACAGTCAACCCGCCGCCAGACAACGCCGCTGCCGCACCACGTACTGTATACGACAGATGTCTCCTGAAAGCGGTGTTATGCACAGCCAACTTCCTGGGTCTATCTGTCACGGTTTGGCCAGCACCTAACGTCTTCCACTGGCGATGTTATGCACAGTCAACCAGCGGTTTCAGTTAATGTGCCCTAGCTACGTTCCTCAAAACGAAGGCGATGTTATGCACAGTCAACCTCCGCCTGATAACGCCGCCGCCGCACCGGACAGCACTTAGTTCAAAATAGAGTTCAAAACTCGGCAGGACTTATACCAATATCAGGACAAGTAAAGATCAGGAAATACAATTTGCTTACTTATTCCGGGTCGCTGCTCCTGGTGGCTAACTCCTTCGGTTCGGATGGCGGTCTCTGGGTCGGTGTCAGGTCCTCGGGGTGGTCCTCAGGGCTGGAGCTGGAGCTCTTCGAGTTCAGGATCTGAACTGCCTGTTTTCGTCCAGGCACGGTTGTTTTATTGCCACAATCCCCCCTTAACTGACCAGGAGTCTTGGTGGGATTATGCGCGCGGCACTCGTCAGAGTGGGGCAAACGGACGGTTCAGCTCGACTCGCGGACAATAATTGCTCTTGCCAATTAAGTTAATTAAAGAAATAAATAGCAAAACTCTTACACAAAACTTAACATCAATACCGGTTCATTACAAACTAATAAAGATAATTGAAAACCACACTATTAATAAAACTTATCTTTATTTCAATAGTAATTTTTATAGCAAATTATCAAAAAGAATTCAATTTTGCTGAATACATCTTTCAGCTCGACGTCGAATTGTCTGCAAAGACCACAAAACTTTAAAATTATTTTGTCTGGTTTGATTCGCAGCCAAATGAATCCTCTGTTGTAATTCTTCCAAAGGATTTATTTCTGTAGCGTAAACTACAGCCTTCATCCTACCCCACAGAAAGTAATCTAAAGGATTTAGGTCTCCAGATCGAGGTGGCCATGGAATCCACCTATCCACCTACCAGGAAAATGGTCGATTAACCAATTTATAACATTATGTTGTTGATAGTGTAACGTTAATCGTACATTTAACAGTGTATCATCCAATAGTTCTCTTACATCATTTTGCAGAAAGTTTAAGTATCCTTCTGCATTCAGACAAACGGGAAACTGAATTGGTCTAAGTAGCTTGGTCCTCCAAAAGTTCTTGTCCACATTTATTGCAAATAATCTATTTTGAAAATTTGTGCGTATTGCCCGTGGATTTTCGTCTGACCAGAAATGGGTATTATGAATATCTGCTAGCTCTACATTCGTAAAATGTTGCATTTTCGGCTGATAATAATTCGCAAAAAGTAAATAATTGAACTGTCAATGCTCGATCAAGATACTTACACTTAAAATTTTCTTGCGATTAAATCCAGTGTATTGTAGATTGACAGTGTTGCAACTCTAGCAACTATAAAGGCGTATACACAATGAATTCTATATTTCCAAAGTAAGTTAATTGCATTTGTGTTTCCTTGTGATTAAATCTAGTGTATTGTAAATTTACACTGTTGTTATATTGACTGTCATTGACTAAACATTTTATTGAAATTCGTAAATTTTACTTTAGCCAATACAGGACGTCATTCATCTCACACTTTATTATTATTTTGAGGATTTTCGAATGAAGCATGTAATTATAAGAAACAAGACATATTATTATTAAACGTACTTATATTAATACATTCCTATAGAATTTTACTTAAGGACACATCCCTATTATACTACAATATGGTGCAACCTATTGAAATGGTACAAATAAATAAAATATCTTCATTGTATTTCCATACTCCAGCATATCAAATTTTCACCTCAAACAGTTGAAATTGAAAAAAGGAAAAGTTGGAAGGTAGTTCAAATAAAAATTTTCGACACTTCGTTTTCAACAGAAACAAGAGATCACTTTTATTAGCAGTATATAGTCTACATATTCTAAATTTACCATTTTTTTCAGTCAGCCGTATATCTCCTTTAACTCTCACTGCTCCAGACGAATTAATTCGCTTGAATAGTTAAACTGGATCAGGCTGCTCAAACCGTATATATGCGCAACTATGCGCATTAGTGACTCGGTTGCTGCAATTGGTATAGGAAATTTTTGTGGGCGGAGCTCATAGCGATTATGGCAATTATTTTTATGGAAGAAGGTACTGGTAATAATGCCAAGATTTGTTCATCTCTTTTTTAGTTTCTATTTAATACGGCTGTTGATATATTGTATTTTATTTAAAATAAAATCGTAAAAATATCTAGAAAATTGACAGAAGACTGGAAGAAAATTTATCGAAGAGCGACAACAGCAACAAGTTTGAGATTGAGGAGCGTAGTGATGGATACTTTATAAAATATTAATAACAAAACTATTACAATTATTTTGAAACCTTTAAACATATTTTAATTTAATTTAACACAACATAATGTAAAAATATAAGTAGTCTAACTGCTCCAGACGAGTATAAACGCCCGCGGTAAACTTTCGCGCAGCGAAAGGGTTATTAATTATTAGGTTTCTAAGGTATAAGTACAACTGAGTTTATTTTTTTTATCTTCAACACCCTGATTCTTGGATCTCTGTTGATTTGAACTTGAACTATCCTCACCAATTTTCATTGTAGAATCTAGTTCTGAAATTTGTTATAATGTTCAAGATAACATTGAATAAAAAACTAAATGTTATCCCTAAAGAAATTAATATATTAATAGTACTTTGTATTTTTCAGAGGACCTTGATGTCGAGAGAAAATCATGTATTCGCGTACGGAACCCTCCAGGTGGAAAATCTTCCGGTTTCTGGTAAAGAATAACAGAAAAATGTGTTCGCTTCAACATTGCTTAAATAAACCATGAAAACAAAACAGTACCAAAGTATAAATAATTACTTTAATATTATTAATAGTAACTGTACCTGTATTATTTATTTCCTTTGATATATTACCAGTTATTATTTATACTGATGATTTTCTACTGATGTGTCGGGAGCATAATCAAATTGAATTGTTCAGTTTGAAAGTTTTGTTGACTTACTGTTAAACTTAGTTGTTTTAGTTAAAATCGTTATTTATTGATGCATAAATTAAATTAGGCTAGGATAAATGGGGGTTTGTTGAAACTGCCTTATTTTTCAACAATACAAATATTATTTTCTGTGTTAATAGTATGGGGTGTCTAAAGATATTTTTCAAGAAAAAAATAGAATAGAAGAAATATCTCTTAATAATGTTCTCCGTCTCTTTGCAGCCAAAAAGATTACTGATCTTCAAAATTCATTGTGTAGATCTAATAATAGCTCAAGTATGTTTTGTTTCTCTTTTTTTAGAATTGAATAATCGATAAGTATAATGAATCAATTTAGGAATATTTATTAACATTCAGACTGCTCATTGTTCGATGGAAGTAGTTAGAAAATAAGGACTGTTTGTTGGTCGACTATCATTATAGATATACTTCCCTTTAATTCACGATTAAAGAAATTATATAATGTGTTTTTTACTTTTAGAAAAACAAGATACATTAAGGACTAACTAAACGTAAAATCAACATAAAAAGCAAAGCGCAACAATTAGCTGTTGTATAATAGGCAATATTGGAGACTATTTCACATTATTTTACAAAATGTAGCTTTTTTTTCAAGGATATGCATTATTTATTTTAAACACTTCGGTATTCTGATCTATTTGAATTTCGAAAGGTATTTAGAAATACAGTGGCCAAGAAATTTGTACAGGAAAGCATGCAACACTCAATAGATCTGTATCGATGTAAATAAAACACAAACATAAACAACACTTTTATTAAGTCATTGTGGGTTTAGGACCTCTACACCCTCATACCTAATAAAAAAAAAGCATTAATAAAGAATGGAAAATTAAAAGAACTTGCCAAGCACCAAATATACAGGGTGTCCCAAAATTAATGCAACAAAATTTGGTCATAGATTCTTATGGCAAATTTAGGGGACCCGTATTTTTTCGTTTTACCAAATTGCCCCCTCTTGGAGTTACAGCCCCTTGAAATCATCCCCTAAGAATAGTCTTCTTTATATCTCAGAACGCTGTTTTACGAGAATCACTAAATTTGGTACTCAGGGGTTTTATGACATTCACATGATAGGTTTCATAATCTGATAGTGCTACGCTTTTTGGCAGGGAACTGCCTTAAGACACTTTTTCGTGGGCTCCCTTGTCTTTGGAACCAAAAAAATTTGGTCGCAAATTTAAATTTCTTAAAAATTATTAGTTAACTAGAAAGCCATTGAATTTAGAAACTTTTTTGTCTCGATATTTTTTTCGTAAAACACAATGTTTTTGAGGAAAATGGCGAATCACGATATGCATTCGATCGCATTTTGACATTTTTCTCGGAAACTTTGCGTTTTACGAAAAGAGTATCGAGAGACAAAAAAGTTTCTAAATTTAATGACTTTCTGGCAGATTAATAATTTTAAAGAATTTAAATGAGACCAAATTCTTTTGGGTCTAAAGACAAGGGGGTCCACGAAAAATTGTCTTAAGGGGGTTCCCCCCCCAAAAAGTGTGCATCATCAGATTCCACATGTCATAAAATCCCTGTGTATCAAATTTAGTCATTCTCGTACAACAGGATTCTGAGCTATAAAAAAAAAGATTATTCTTAGGGACGGATTTCAGGGGGCTGTCTGTAACTCCGAAAGAGGGGGGGCCACTTGGCAAAAATAAAAAACACTGATCCCCTAAATTTGTCGTAAGAAACTGTGACTAAATTTTGTTGCATTAATTTCGGAACACCGTGTATATTGTAATAGTATTTGTACAGTTGTGAAATTATGAAGCACCAAATATGTATTGTAGGGAATTTACACATTTAATATTTGGTTGGATATCCATCAGATTTAAAAAAAAAAATTTTAGAGAGCGTGGCATAGAAGCTACTAATTTCTGGGTCAAATCAGAGCCCATGCATCTTCCATTCGTCATGCAGTATGGTTTTCAATTGGCTTGTACTAGTTATATTACATTTTCGTACACGTTTTTCAAGTTTGACCTATAAATTCTCAATATATTGAATGCCATTCACTGACATAGTATGTAAGCTCTATGCTTTGGGTTGTCCTGCTGGGGATTGTAATCATTTCCCATTCTAAGCAAATTGGCGTTTTGTTTTAAATTTTTCTTTCAGGATGCACACTAGTACACATCCATTATACCCTCTATTATTACTAATTTCCAACACCTTTGCTAAACATACAGCCCCATATCATGACTTCTTGTCCTTCATGTTCCACAATAGATTGCAAATTGTTGGGATTCAGCTCTTCATTTGGTTTTCTTTGTCCGCCGGATCCAAATATATTAAATTTCGATTCATGGGAGAAAATGACTATTCCAGAAATCAGGATTTTCAATTATATACTATTTTTCAAAATCTAAAATTTGCTATTTGTAGCAATAATGTACAGCTTCTGATGGGTGATGCACAATTTCAGGTTAGCACGTTTAAGTACCCTGTGAATTGTATCCGGACAAACTTTTATTGAAGCCTTCTACTTCCCTGGTTATTGCAGGTGCATTTAATCATGGATTATTTCCAATATGTCTGCTTCTACTTTTATTTTCAATGTTGTTTTAGTTACCAAATTTCTTGATAACATACTAAACAGTTGAATGGTTTCCGTTGATAGCCTTTGCTATTGCTGATCATTATCTGAAATCATTATTTCTGTTGGCTGCATAATCTTGATATTATATTTCTCTTGGCAATTTTCGTTTCTTTTTCTTTCCATCCAGACATCACGAAAAACGTTAATCATACGCATGTAAACTGTAAGCTGAACTACTTCCAGAGTACTACAATGTAAAAAGAGATCCGTCAACTACCATCATGCTAATGCCTGCTTACTAAAAATGATGTACGAATACTTTTGCATATACCATCTTTGTTTGTACAGTTAATGTGTTTATTTCCTACTAGCTTCTGAACTTTCCATTATTAATAACAATACTAAAGATGTGTTGTGGTAAGTAATCCATCCACTACTGGCCATCATGCCATCATGTGTTTATGTGATAACAGACTGTTGTGCCTCCGCATGCTCTCCTGTACGAATACTTTTGCTGTCTATTGTATGTAAAATTTATTGAAATCAGTTTATAGTCCCAGATCTCACAAGATTTAATTGCAAAATTAAAATTTGTACAAATTATTCGGTTTCTATTTGAATTTGGATACACAAATTTATGTGAAAATACCAAACACTGATGATTTTATGATCCTTAGAAATTTTCCATCTTTACTGCACCTCTACTTAGAAGTATATTTTATTTGTATTATTTGCAAATTTATATTGTTTTTATTTTCTAATATTTTTCAAATACCTATTCCTTAGATTTCCAACAATACTACAAACAACCTGTCCTCTAATGGATATGTCTTTAGTTGCTTACCTATGTAACACAGCATTTCTTTTACATAAATAGTTAATTGTTAACAAATACCTACTGAAATCTGATAAAAATATCTTGAAATGAATATGTGCGGGATGTGATTGTTAGTTTTAGCTTTTGCATGTAAACAGTACCTACATTTAGTAAAAGTACCTATAGCACGTTTTATTTAAGTTGCACATTATTTTTTGCAGTTATATAATCTTTTTTAGATTTATTGTAATGTATTTAATAATAAAATTTAATACTTCTGCAAAATACTGTGTTTTTATGTTTACTTCACATTTCCCTAATTTGTACTTAATATCTACTATAAAAAATATTGAGATAAATACTATACATTAAGGGGAAACCACATTAGAAGGTTGAAAAAAATCCGATTTTCTTTTTTTGCTTAAATTAGTATTCAATAAACTGCCGAAATTTCAGAACGAAATTCCAGTTTGTTCGGATTTTATGAGCCTAAAACTGAATGCCTATTGGGTCAACGCTCGAACGCACAGCAGGTGGGGTAGAGCGCTTGTTCAGAGGTAGAAGGACTGTTATATGATGCTGGAGTCGCTGATTGATCGGTAAGCACTCATATTATTAATAGCTCAAATTGGTAACTCAAAAATTATTTTTTAACTCGTCTTTCTCGAAACAACATTTTTTTAATTCACAGCAACTTGAGTTGAAAAAGTATGAACCGATCATTATGACAATTAAAAGTATGTTTATGAAATTACAAAGAACATGAACCAACAATTGGGATGATAATATTTTTTTATTCAAAATAAGTGAAAAAAAAATTTTGAAAATTGATACATTTTTTTCAAACGCTTGTTAAAATTTTTTACCTGCAATGAGGTTCATATTAGAAAACATTTAATAGTGAAGGAAAAAAACCATTTTTCTTCCAGACTTTCAGATCAAAGTTGCGACCTCCACATTTCGGGGACAAAGCCCATAACTTTAGCACAAATGACTTGAAAAAATTATTAAATCAGTTCAAATTGTTAACAAAATAACGTCAAAATTTAATCAAATTCTAATCAATTTGTCCCACTCAAAAAAATTCATGAAAAATGCCTGAAAATCAGCCCCCTTTAATGTAATATCCCCCCTCAGAGGCGGTCTTAGGGGGTGGCGAGCAGGGCAATCGCCTGGGGCCTCACTTACAAGGGCCTCGTGCAACAACTTGAGTAAAGAAAAGTTTATATTTATAACTTTATTTTATCCTTAGCTATTAGGTAGATATACAGGGTGTGCCATTTAACATTCCCGCTGTCAATATCTCCAAAATGAAGAAATTTATTTTAGTTCTGGAAATTGGGGTTGTTAAGTCCCTCGAATAGCTTCAAATTATAGTTAGAATTGTTATTTCAAATCTTTCTATATAAATGGCGTGGCGATACTAAATTTTTTTTTGTTCCCTGGAACGATCGTTAAATTTTAAGTATTTTTTGTAATATAAAGTTTTTTCCTATATTTAGTTGTTTTCGAGATATGTCGATTTCAATACGCGATGTATGGTATAACAGGAAAATTTATTATTTTATTCAAATCACACAAAATATTCTTTTAAAATATTGTTATAATAGCTTTATTCACATCACATACTAACTAACAAACAATAAATTATATAAAAAACGAATGATCAACCACAGAAAAAAAAATTGTACATTGGTAAATCTTATAAGGTGCAAAGATGAACCGTATTTTATAAAATGTTATTAAAAAATGCAGTCATAGGTGGCTCGTCATTTGTTTAAAATAAAACAATGACAGATGAATCATTAGTTTTCCAATAATTACAGTTTTATCAGTTTGCGTCTTTCAATTTAAGTATACTAGTTATACGATTTATCATTGCATAATTTTTTTTCTGTAGTTGATCATTTGTTTTTTTATAATTTATGATTTTTTAGTTAGTATGTGGTGTGAATAAAGCCATTATAACAATATTTTAAAAGAATATTTTGTCTGTGATTTAAATAAAATAATAGATTTTCCTGTTATATCATACATTGCGTATTGAAGTCGACATATCTCAAAAACAAATAAATATAGGGAAAAACTTTATATTACAAAAATTACTCAAAATTTATCGCTTTCAGATGGACTCTATATCCACGTTCCAGGGAACAAAGAATTTTTTAATATGCCACGCTATCTATACAGAAAGATTTGAACTAAAAATTATAACTACAATTTGAAGCTATTCGAGGGACCTAACAACCCCAATTTCAAGAACTAAAATAAATTTCTTCATTTCAGAGATATCGGCAGCAGGAGTGTTAAATGGCACACCCTGTATAGGTATATGACAATAAAATAAAGTTTGTTAATTCATAGTAAATATATTAATAATAATAAAAGGTGCCTAAATAATATTTCTCATTTAAATTTATTTAATGATCGATATCAAAATCAATTAATTTATCAGTGGATAATAATATTTTTTATAATTGGAT